TCAGCATAAGAAAGACACGGACCTGTTGGAGTGGGTCCAGAAGAGGGCCACGAAAATGATCAGGGGGATGGAACACCTCTCCTATGAAGAAAGGCTGGGAGAGTTGGGGTTGTTCAGCCTAGAGAAGAGAAGGCTTCGGGGAGACCTTATTGCAGCCTCTCAGGACTCAAACGGGGCTTATAAGAAAGATGGCGGCAAACTTTTGAGCAGGGCCTGTTGCGACAGGACAAGGGGGAATGGCTTTAAACTAAAGGGGGGTAGATTGAGACTAGATATAAGGAAGAAATTTTTTAGGCTGAGGGTGGTGAAGCACTGGCACAGGTTGCCCAGAGAGATGGTGGATGCCCCATCCCTGGAAACATTCAAAGTCAGTTTGGACAGGGCTCTGAGCAGCCTGGTTTAGTTGAAGATGTCCCTGCCCATGGCAGGGGGGTTGGACTAGATGATCTTAAGAGGTCCTTTCCAACCCAAAAACTATTCTAATTCTATGATTATATGATATATTTAAGCACTTAGGGATGACATATATTTAAATACATTTTCATTAGCTGATTGTATTAAAAATAATTTCCTATGTGAACCTGTATTCTAATATTTCCTTTTTCTTTTCTCTTTTCACTTTTGCTTCCCTTCTTTTCTCTTTCCTCAGATAAACCAAAGACGAAACAAGGAAGTAAGCTATAGTTTTACATATTGCTTCTCCCTATAACTGTTAAAGCAATGTCAGATCTATAAATGAGAAAAAAAATGTATAAAAGCTCCTGCTGCTACTCAGAATTGTAGATTATGGCTGATTAGACAGACTAGAACTGATACAACAAAGCTGATAATAGTAATAATGGATATGTTGAGAAATTCTAGTCTGTTTAAGCCAAAAAAGTTTCATCCCAATACTGTATATTCTTCCTTGACAAAAGGAAGAGACTTGTGTAATGCCAGCACAAAAAACCTATTTATAAAGTTTATATTTATTATTTTACACACAAAATTCTTCTCTCCACACCTCCTAGGCTCACTACAGGTCTCAGCTATGTATTCTGATGTCAATACGAGCTTAACATGCAAATCTATACAGAGCAAGTAACACAAGGCTTTTGTCATGGGATTTGTGCTACAGGTTGTCATTTTGCCAAGTTATGGCAGACTGTCTAACAGACCTCAGTCAGTTCAGTCCTACAGAATATGGCCAGTGTTTATTTACACTTTAATTTCCCATTTCCAGGTCAGACCTGGGTAATTTTTTAGATTCTTCAGCAGCATCTGTGTCACATGCCACACCATCCTAAAAGCCATTTTTTATCCTGGAGATGACAACTGGCTCTGAAGCATCTTCCCAAAGGATTCCTTGCTTGGGGATAAAACAAAGGAAGTTAGTTTGAAGTTAGTTTTGTCAAGTAATGACTTAAGCTTTCAGTTCAGAATTGTTTAATGTTCTTTTTTTTCAAAATGCATCATTGAGGTAGCATCTTCTGCAACAGTTTGGGTGACTGTGATCTTAATAATGGAGGTGCACAACAACTTTAAGTTCTTACAGGCAGGCTCCTGAAAGTAAAGGGTTTATATTGTGCATTAAATGATTTATTTTGGTAAAGGCATAATAGTGTAGTATTTAGCTGTGTTACCTGTATTCTTGTATTAATCACAAAATCTTTATCTGAATTGTGAATCACAAAAAAAAAAAAGAGAAAGGTCTGTGTCTTCCACTATCCTCTTTTTTTTGTGAAGACCGTTGCACCAAACACGGAATCTCTCTTGGGAATTTTTCATAACTCATGAGCACAGAAGGACAAGGTTTTCAGTCTTCTCACTGAGTTTTATTTCTGTTAGCACAGATTTCTGTCATTAACTTAATATTTAAAAATTGATGTTGACTTTTTATCAGGACTATTAGAGATACTTAGTTCCACTGTATATGCTTCACAGACATCTGCAGTAAATTGTTTGTTTTCTCGCTTTGAAAATTAGTGACTGAATCATAAACTTGTGAGTACAAAACCTGAAGGTAGAAGCAGGAGAACAGGGGTAGCTTCTGAAGCAGATGTCTGGGATGTAGGGAGGATGGAAAAGACAGCTTTATTACAATAAAATTACACTTTTGACCTTGTTCAACAAATTTCTTTCCCAAGTCTTCTCTTTTAAAAATTATATCACCTGGAAGTATTGCCTTTTTAGAAGCACAGCGTAGAAGGAGAAAAATAATGAAACATTTATCCCTTGATGTCAGCCCAAACAGAACAGGAGTTTCAATGTCAACAGTAAATTAAGTTTTTCCACTTGATGGTTACTTCTGTCATAAATAAAATTTTATTATTTCTGGATTCCTTCAATTCAGATTCCCCATGAACTCAGTTTGTCTTACACAGAGCCAAATACTAAATCATGAACAAGAAGCTTTGTTGATACCAGGGTAAATTACTATTGGACACATTCCATGCTTTTATAACAAAAGCGACAATTTGTGAATTGTGTGTGCTTAAGACAGCAAACAATTATCACTCCAACTACCCACTGTAGCTACTGCAAGTTTCATATCTATCTGCTAAACACAACCTCCTCCTCATTAGGAGTCGACCTCTTATCCTGTGTAGAAACCAAGAGGGTCTTCTAACAGAGTTCTTTGATATCTTCTGGCACTGAATTGCTACCGAGTTTCTCAATAGAAAGAATTGTTTGCTTCATATCTGATGGAGAACATTGTGTTTATTTTTTTTTTCCAGAAAAGACCTATTAATTAGTGTTTCTCAGATAACATGTATAAACCAGTGTAACCAGTAGTCAGATGGTTAAAACACTCACTTAACATGCAAGAATTCAAAACCCAAGTCTCTGTTTTTTCTGACTAGCCTGTTTTGGGACAGTCTCATTTGTCTTTTTCATTTTGGTGGGAAAAGCTTTGGAGACTTTGGTTTCATCAGCCCAGAATTATGGTCTCACATTTTGTCTGAAACAGTTCTTGTTTTCTGCCTAGTTCAAATTATTTCTTATACCTTTTACCAGGAACTGTCCTTCCTCGTATGGTATCCATCAAGGATGGTGTGGCCTAGACATCTTCACTGCTTGTCTGTAGGCAGAATAAAAAGAACTCTTCATCCTCCTATTTGTCACTGTTGTGTTGCTCTTTCAATTTGAAACACATCTGACCTTTAGAAAAGAATAGTTTCAATAAGGAGACTTTTGGACTTGCTCAGCAAGAATGGACAATCCCAGATGAGGGAAGTAGACCACAGCCAGCTCGGATGAGTCAAAATTGACAAAGGGTCAGTTTCGTCCTTTCTGGTCAAGAAAGTTGAAAAACTATGCCTATCCCATATTAAGGTGAAGCTTGCAAATTTTATAGGTTTCATAGTTAAGTTGAAGCTTGCGAATTTTATAGATTTCGTAGTTAAATCAATAAAACACATTTTGTGGACTGAACTCTCTGAACGGAAACAGGTGAATTTCGTACAACTCTTTCAATCACGCAGTTTTTCACTTTTTCTTTCGATATACAGTTATAGTCTCTCATATGATCTACATGCTTCATTCTCTCTTATGATTAAATGTCATAGTTTCACTCAGTTATGGCTTCTGACTGTCACTTTATCGGTGTGAATACTTCTTTTACAGATCCTGGAAAAGAGAAAGAATTGAAATCTCCAGCTGCTACAAAAGATAAAGGTAACATGGCAGGACAAAATTGTATAAAACCCTAAGATCTATGTGCATCAAGAAAAAAATCTTGCAATGTATTGGCCTTTATGTTTTTACAGTATAGTTTAGTTAGGAATTTATAAGCATAATACTATTTCAGTAAATTTATGATAAAACTTAATTGGCATTACCTGGCTCAGAAGTGCATTGGTAATACGAAGCATCTGTACGAAAACTTAGAAGTCCAAATTCAGAATTTAGGAACACTTGTTAACGTTTGCTATTAAAGGCTGCAAAGTGAAACAAGTTTTGAGTGATCTTTGATCTTTCATCACACTTAAGAAAAGTTCGTGGTTTCACTTTGTGAGCATGCTAAAACTGATGAAAAACAGTTTTGTACTACACGTTTAATTGGTATCATGGCTCAGTAACCGCCAATTATTCAATCTATAATTGTCCCAGAGGTATTAGATGTTAACCTTTTATCACTCTAGCTTGAAGATTAATAAATTATTTTTTACAGAACATGCTAAAGAAAAGGAAGGAAAGAATCCTACAGCTTTAAAAGATTAAGGTAAGAATACACAATAGAATATAAAACTTGTTGAAAACCACACAAAGTGGAAAGAAGATACTAATTTTTAAATAATCATTATAAATCTTTCCCATTATAAATCTTAACCAATCAACATTTAATTGGTTAAAATATTCTACAGGATTTATAGCATTAAAAAAAGGGGAAAAAAAGGACATAAATAGAGCATGGTGAGCCAATTAACATTCAGAAGTCTCAAAATTAATTAAATAAAATCACAAAACCACTCTGAGTAATGGTTAAGAACTTCCCTAAGAACTTTCTCTTCTGAACCATGCAAAGTGTTTAATAGGAGCCAGTTAACAAAGTCTGAACTGAATGCTTGCATAAATCTGTGGACGTAATGGGAATAAAGTAAAATTTATGAGCATATGAGTGGGTAATGTGCTTTCTGGGCTCTGTACAAGCTATAGTTAAAAACCCATAGCTTCATCCAGTCAACCACCTGCAACATGAGAGTTGGTCTGCATCTTTCTTTTATTCCTTATTTTTTATCAAACAGTTCCCATGTCTTTTTTAATTTGGTCAGAATAGATGGTTAGCTCAGCTGAATTTCCTTTAATCCATTATTTTGCTGGGTGCTTTTTACACATCTTATTGCTTCCCTCCTTTCTAGAGATAGCTGTATTTTAAAGGAGAAGTGCTTTATGGATAAGTCTTATTTGACATGTTCTTTAGGTTCTTCAGGATAAAAAGATCTACCATATAGATAGACATATTAATATTTATTCTAAATTACAGTCATTATATGCTATTTCAAACAAAGAACTGAATGAAGAGTTTAGTTCAAACACTATGGAAAGATTAAAAAAAAAAATCTAAAACAAAAGGAGAAATAATCTTATTGCTAGACATATTTTCAAAATCCTGGAAGCTCTGTTCATTCACTCACTCTTGTTTAATTGGGCAATCACTAACTAATCACTTCTTTATACACACATTAAAATTAAATTGTACTAATCTGCAAATCCTGTGGTTTATGTATTGTTCTTCTATGTGTATTCTACTCCTAATGTACACATCCCATTTACATGAGCTTAGTTATCTGGACCAGAACTGTATATCCAAACTCCCCTGGGGTCCTGTGGCCCTCTCCACAGACTGCCTATAATCTGTTGTTCCCTGATGGCTTTGTGCTGAAAAATTAGAAGAGGCACTTGAGTGACAGCTCTGCCCCCTCCTCCTCTGCATGGAGCAAGTATGCTCAGCCTGCTGCCCTCTGCGCTTACAAAGGGTGGCGGGGCGGGGGGGGGGGGTTAGAAAAAGAAAGAGAGAGGAGACCCAAAATGTTTTTCCCCTTTGGCAAGAGTTTCTTTAGAGCCAATGGAAAGGGGTTTGCCAGCCCTGAACAAGCTTCTGTAGCATGTCCTTTGCTGAGTGCTCCCATGGTGCTGCTTTTAATCTCCTGGGCTCATGTTCAATAGGTCAGCAACTTCAATCACTAAGTTATTAACAGGTCCTTCTAAAAAGAGAGAGGAGACCCAAAATGTTTTTCCCCTTTGGCAAGAGTTTCTTTAGAGCCAATGGAAAGGGGTTTGCCAGCCCTGAACAAGCTTCTGTAGCATGTCCTTTGCTGAGTGCTCCCATGGTGCTGCTTTTAATCTCCTGGGCTCATGTTCAATAGGTCAGCAACTTCAATCACTAAGTTATTAACAGGTCCTTCTAACATGACAGAGGGTGTTAGATCTTCTCCACCCAGCCTTCAGAAAGGGGCAGGCAGGAATTTATTTTAAACATCAAGTGCAGGCCATGTTATACCAGATTTCCTACATTTTAGGAAAACAAGGCAAAAAAACTCTGTAAAAATTCCAACATATTACGCAAAGTGTTACCAACTAGAGCTTCACACCACTTTCTTTACCCCATGTAATACAGTCATGTATGCCCAATGCATTACTGCTGCTAACAGCAAGATCTCAACCTACTACTGGATGCTGAATACAGCTGTAAACATACCACAGGCTCCTGAGCCCCTGCAGCAACACTGATGTCCAGCCCAGCTGAGCCTGACCCGTCAGATCCTGAGAGCACTTGCTGATGCAGCCATCGCTATTTCCCATAATAGGCATCAAACTTGTACAGTTCAGTGTCTGTGTCTAAAAACATGGGTGCTGATTAGTGAGCCGAATAGCTCAGTTCAAAATATATTGGCAGCAAAAACTCTATATGAAGAACTTATAAAGCTGTGTGGGAGAAACCCTTAGAAATCTTGGTGCCTTTCTGGGCTATGTGCTTTCCCTATTACATTCTGGATTACTCTGCTACATACTGTCCCACTAGGGACATGGTTTAGTGGGCATGGTGGTGTTGGGTTGACGGTTGGACTTGATGATCTTAGAGCTCTTTTCCAACCTTAATGATTCTATGATTCTATAAACATATATTTAGCACTATAAATCCCCCATTTCAGTCACCATATTTGCCCAAACTGTAGCTCATCATTTAATCAAAGCCTAATTTACATGCCACTCTTTCCCCTCTCCATCACCTCTTCAAGCCTCCTCAGTGGGCCTCCGTAAAGGTTGACCAGGTTATTGGGGCCTTCTTTTCACTCTTTGCAACTTGGTGTCCTGTAATCTGTTTCTTAAAGTGAAGGTTTCTGGCAAATAAACATATATTGAAGGACACAGGGAAGTAAGGATTTTTAAGACTGCATACACATGCTAATTATGTATCTTGGGAGTTTGTTACTATTCATGTAAAACCAAATAAAGGAACATTTTTCGGTGAGGTGTTAAATACTTGTGATGATTAATGTTTGCCTGGCACCTTATGCAATAAAAGAGGCATCATCATACCTCATTCTGTTTGAAGGATGGGCTAAGTTTGTATGAACAAGGATGATGTCCAGAACAAAAACCTATCAGAAAGCAGGCTATTTTTCATAAACTGATGCATAGTGTTATTATTTAAAGTAGAGACAGGAAAAACAAATCTTTGAATTTGGAGTTATCGCTGGGATACTCTATAGATCACAATGTTACCTTATCTGTTTTATGAGGTGAATAAAATGTCTTCAGTCTTAGGGTCTAATTTTATTGGCAGTAATTAAGGACAACACTGGAAGAATATACTTTCCATTGTCTTGTGATAAAGGACATCTCAAGACTCCTTCTGAATTTATAACTAGCTTTTCGGCTTTTTCCTGACATAAAGAAGAGTAAAGAAGCCCACTTACAATAATGAATATAAAAGCTGATTTTCTGTTGACATAAGCATATTCAAATAATGTGAGACCAATGAAACTCTAAGGTATAATTTGCCATGTGGTTTTTTGGTAGATATCTTACCCAGCTAATCGGAGTAGAAGCTTATTCACCCAGAGACTCTAACAGTGGCACTAAAAGCTCATGATATATCATATATAACTCCTCACTGAATTTTTCTAAGAAATTCACTGGAATTGCACCATGCAGAGTTGTTAAAGTGACAGTATTTGTGCTGTATAGATAATGTAAATTCACTCTAACCCTGTGTGCCATGATTTGTTTTCCAAACAAATGCTCCTTTTTTACCTCTTGTTTGCTTTTGCCATGTTTTGGGATATCTTTGCATATTTTCTTATGTCGGATATGTGTGGATAATAAGCCTATTTATTTTTATGCACAGATTGGTAGGGGAAATAAGTCAGTAGTGTGTATTTCTTTCCTGACATATACATAATAGCACACTGTCATTAAGGAAACAAATGTGCTGATTTGCACTTGCCATGCTTCCTTTAAAGTAAAAGTAAAATGAAATAACATCTTGACTGTAGCATTTTTTATCTTAACTTATAACACACATTGTTCTTCTTTAAAAGTAGAAAGTTATGTTGTAAGACTCACCTACAGAAAAGCACTGTATGTTCAGTTAATATTTCCTCCTATTTCCATCTACTTATTTGTTGTTGTCATTTGCATGAGAACTAGATCTTTTTCCCGAAGAGTTCACATACTGCTCTCACTGCATCTTTCTATACCATCTTCCTAACCTGACCCAGCTTCACCCCTGGAGTAGGATGAGGGAGGAAAGCAGCAAGGTGAATGTTTTTCCCCTTCTGGGACCAGCAGGAAAGTGGTCAGTGAAGAGCAGAAGTTTGAAATGTCTTCAGTGAGTCCCTGTTTAAACCCCTGAAGATGAAAACCTGCTCCCTGGAAGGGAAGGAGGGCTGGTGATCTCAGTAGCCTTGGCTCAGAGGGTGGGGAAGTCGGTGCACCATGGAAAGTGTCCTGCATTGATAGCTGCATCCAAAAGTTGTAAGGGTCAAAAGTGCTCAACCTGCTTTAACAGCTACAAATCGTAGAGAGGGACACCTGCCACATGGATGACAAAAAAACCTCATGGGCATATGCCACCAAACGCACAAGGCCAAAGGCAATGGTTTGTGCCCGTGGCTGTAACAGTGGCTGCTGATCTTTGCGATCACAAATGTGCACACAGAGTAAAATGGTCAAGTTGGGTAGCTGTTGTCTCAAGGCTTCCTATATAGTCAACATAGAGGCTCCTTCACAGGGTTTCAGTTTTCACACTGGAAGTTTTCTCTCAATCCCCTGAAGGAGTCCGCCTGCTGCTGTGAAGACGAGGCTCCTAATTTAAGTACCTATCCCTGAATGGTGTGATTTCTCCAACAGCTTCAGCCACCCTGGAAGTGAACTTTTTCTGTTACAACTCACACTTAAAGCCAGATGGATAAGTGGGATCGCTTCCTGGTGCCATGGCAGCCAGGAGGATGATCAGAGTTAAACTTATTTTGGAAAGGATCTTCTTTTAGCTGTATCTGTTTTACTGAAGCTTTGGTTAACTTTCATTTGGAATAAATGGCATGTTTTTTCTAGATGCTTAGGTGCTATATCCTGTCAGATGGATTGCAATTGGGTCTACTCAGCATCCTGCAAGCTGTGATATTCTCTCACTTCAAACCACTTACATTCATAAGCCTATGAAATTACTTCCTCACTTTGGAAAAAACAATTTCCTCCTAATATTCCCTGATACATACACTTAAGAGGTCAATAGCCTATTGCTTTAAAAAAAAAAAAACAAATTAGTTGTTTATACAACATAATGTATGTTTTTCCTGTGCTTGCTGACCCTGAATGCATGCTCCTTGAAGGACTGAGGCAAAAAATTAGGCTTCAGCCCATCAGAGAAAACAGAATAACCCTTTCTGTCTTCATGAAGTTTTGGATAAGGCCCTAAAAATTTCTAATCCTGTGTCATTACTTACATTTTCCCCTTCTCCTTTCTGATTTCTCCCTTCTGCAAGGTCTCTACTGACAGAGTGATCTATAGTAACATCTACTCTTGCATTTGCTACTAACATTGCACCTTAAAAAATATAAGGTGGTCACTAGAGAGGATGTAAAGACAGGTCAAGGTTGTATCCATTTATGTTCACAATTTTAGTCTTAACTTTTAAATATTTGTTGGTTTTTCTTTTAAGTGTAAAAGGGCAGTCCTATCTTCTAAGTCTCAAAAACTTAATTATCTCCCTACAGATTCTCTGAAGGGAAGAAATCCCAAGAATCCCGAGGGGTCAAAGGAAAAAGGTAAGTGGAGAAGTTCAGATATTCAGAACTGAATATCAGAACAGCTATTCAATGCTAGAAACAGGTCTTAAGTACGAATATATGGGGATGGAAAACCAAACCCAGCCTGGTTCATGTTTAGATTATTTTATCCATGATATTGTTTTTAACAACATTTGTGCTGTACAGATCCCCAGCAGGGTCCCTGGTAACTACCTGGGCTTCTTTTAAATGCAGAGATTTGAATTTGCATCCTTGGGGAAATACCAAAATGTATTTTTATACTACCTTTGGATGTTAGTCTGTCAAAAACAAGTTGTCTAAATCCCATAGTGGGGACATTCCTGCAGGGAACTAGACTAAATCCGGTCCGTGTGGCTATGACTCAAGAACGTGGTTGACTGAGAATGAGACTGGCTGATGCTACTGACAGATACAGGCGTTTGAGGGTGGCTAATATAAGTCAGGATTTTTTCCTAATTTGTTGACAACACAGACATCTACATCTTTAAACTTTCAGTTGCAGGAGGTTGGCCTGATAGCTGTGCACACAGAGGTGATGGATTGTTTGATAGTGTCGATTTGGAGAAAACCCCATTTGTTGCAATGTGACATGTATTGAACACTAATACAAAGAATTATAGGATTCACGGGCACTGATGACTTCTGGAGAGTACTGAAACAGCTCAAAAATTTCAGAGAAACAGCAAAGGCTAGCAGAACTGTGCATGGTTCCTGAGCTATAAGGCACACCTGAGGTCCAAATTGTGGTGAAGTCGCATTTTTTTGGAAGCTGGAGATATTCAATGCAGTCCAGAAAATGGCTGGCATAGACTGAATAGACACACAGAAAAGTGATGCATTTCTGGGAGGAGTGTATTATTCCTTGTGAAAACTCTGGGGAATGAAGCCAGGGCACCACTTGGGGCTCAGGATTCTCCACTTCGTCACTGTTGTCAGTCCATGCGTCTCACCTGGGCACCACAAGAAGATCGTAGTTTTCCTTTGTTTGTGCTTAGCCAGCTTCTGGATTTTCTTTTGTCCTTGGGTTCTGCCTTTTCAGGTACAAGAAAGACAACTAAAATTTCATCTCCTTTAATACTTTGTCATATACTGCAGAAAAATTAAAGATACAATTATGTTCTTGGACTATTCACTGTGACATAAAATATATTAATGTATATTCAAAGGATGAGCACTGCTCTTATTTTATACCCAGCTTGCCTGTCATTTTAAGAGGCTATATATATGCAGGAAGTTAAATCTTTTTCACAGGCAGTACCCATATGGCCTCTTTGATATTAAAAGAACAATGGAGTCCGGAATGAGTAACTGGTCCTTTTGTCACTCCTGAATAAAGAAAACTTCCACTTACCTTTATCAGCAGCCTCCGGCTTTCAAGACCAGTATTCCTAATATTTTAATTGTATCAAAGTAGATTAATTTTTTATTTGGGTTCAGCAAAAGAAAAATCCAATCTTTGTAAATTGTTATTCTTGATTGCCTACTCGAGAGGCAGCTTAACAGTTTCCTCAAAATGTTAAGAAAATAATGACATATTGAAGGCTTATTATTTTGCATATCCAAGTCTAAAGGGATGAATGAATGACCTCGTTGTTTTGTCTTGTTCTTTATTTCTGTGCTGTTAAATCCATTTAATTATCATGTCTTTCGTGCTCTCTACATATCAAATTGTTTGACTTGCTTTCTTTTCAAGTGTTGTCTTATTTCTCTAACCTGACCTGTGATAAATGTTAAATGTTTCTTTCTAGAGACTGGTAAAAGAAAAGATGTGAAGCCTCCAGCAGCCTTAAAGGAAAAGGGTAATGTCGTATCATTATGTGGTTGGGAAATAACCGGTCATCCTCATGAAAGGGTCTGCTGGTATCTCAGTGCAGTTTCGATATATTTTGAATTACAGGCCTTTGGTGAAAAGGAACTAAACCTGGCTTCTTCTCACTTAATAGATCTGATATATTGAAAGGAGCAGTGTCTGACACAATTCAGAAATAATAAAATCATAACCCTTACTGTGGTGTTCTTTAACCACTGTCTGACCTGCACAGCCAATATTGCAGCGGGAACGCTGGTCTATTCTGTATGAATTAGTAACAGAGCTGTTACTGAATTCACATGACAGGCTGAAATGATAGGCGGCACAGGAATGAACGCATGGTTTGAACTGCAGAAACTTTGCCAGATAATTTAGTGGGAATTATTTTTGTTTTGCTTTCAAATCTTAAGTTAAGCCTTTTATTGAATTAAACAGAAATTCTAATTCTTAACACTTATCTCTTTTGCACATTTTGCTTGATCTGATGTTATGCACCTTTGTTATAGTACTGATGGACACAGCGTATACTTACATTACTAACTTTCTCCTTCCATTTTTGTGTTTGATATCTTTTCCAGACTCTTCAAAAGGAAAAGAAATGAAGGCTTCAACTACGACTAAGGAAAAAGGTACCAATCCAAAGTTGAGCTGCGGCTTAGGATGAGATTCAGTTGAGAAAATAAACCCGTTGTGCAAGTATCCCCAAAAGAAATCCTAGTTTCTTCACTTAGCCATCCATAAATGTCTGTGACTGGCATCCTTTGCTGCTGGACATTCTTTTTACCTGGGTGATAGATGAGGGATACATATGGGGTTATACAAGCAAGTTGTAGCAGTAATACTTTATGGCCCCGAAGTTATGAGGACTTGTTTTCTTCTTTCTTAATTTTGTCTCATTCTTTCTGTTTCAATCTGTCATTTCAGATTGCATTTTACTTTTCTTCTATAACACATTATTTGATTGTGCTTTGCTCTCTCTTCTTACATTGAAATATCAGCACTAGCCATCAAATAAAGATCAATTACAATTTATAATACATGACGTCTTAAATACTAGGCATTTTTAGGCAGTGATAAAATTGTAATTATAATTAACCAAAAACCTTCAGGTTTATTTATTCATATCAACTAAATTCAAACAAAACTTAGTTTTACTTTGACACTATTTTCATATGGATTAAATACCACTTGCTCATTAGAAAGCAGTCTCTCAGGTTAAATGTGTAAATAATTTAACATGGATAAGAATATGTAACTTGCTAACTGATAAGTCATTTGAGCCATGGGAATACAGTAAATATTAAAAACTTCCAGTCAGTTTTGAAAACTACTTCAGATAATTGAATAACATTACTTCCTATCTTTAGATTTTCCCTAAGGATCACTAGAAATAATGAGACAATATTTTTTCTGACAAAGTTATGACAGATAACATCTGCAAGTTTTTAAGTGCAGCTATTTCACATAGCGTATGTAGGTAGTATATAGCAGAATAGTAGAGATCAGCTGTTACTTTGCACAGTTGCATGGTTCTGAAGCAAAGTGAAGGCTTAAGTGCTACAAAAGGAACTAAGGCTTAAATAGTCTGAAACTCTTTGAAGTAGTCAAAGTACATGAACCTGGATTGTCAGTCCAAGGTCAAGGACATTAGAAAAATAGGGACGCATTATTGTACCTTTTCTTTTAGTTTACTTTAGTCAACAGGGAGTACTGAACTGCGGGGGGGGGGGGGGGGGGGTGTCTATTGATTATTGGTTTAATACAACTTGGCTTTTATATTTTGAGCTTCAGGCAAGCAAGACCTATGGACTTCCTTTTAGGTTCTTGCAAACATATCTGTGAAACATAGGTAGGTTAATGAAGAGCTAAACATTGATTAGACCCCTAAGTATTTGACTATTGAGCTTCCCATTGAGTCTGTTATCTAATTTTTGTCTTCAGCTCTCCATAAATATTTCTGGTTTGAAGATTGATTTATTTAAATTTAAGTGATAAAAAAGTAAAATACTCTTTATTACAAAAGATAAAATGTTATAAAGATGTAATACATGTCTGTAAAAGTTATTTTAGCTGCACTGCTA